TGAGGAAGTGCAGGAAAGGTGTGCTTGTATGCAAATCGGGGAAAGCGAAGGGGATAACAGATGGTAAGGAAGGAAGCTGCATGGGTCCATTCTCTTGCAAAAGATGGGAGGGCTGCATGCACGCATGCGTGCTCTCCCATACATACTCACTTGTTTGAACCAGTGAGGAAAAGGAGATGGGAAAGAAGGACTAGATGCACAAGTCTTTGGAAGGGAGGGACAGAAGTATCAGGTGGAAGGAGGGGAAAAAGAGATAGCAGGAAGAGGCAGTGGCAGCTGCTCTTCTGGCCGTGGCACTCCCTCCATCCACCCTAGAGACCTGTGCACCACCCATCCGTCCTCCTCGCACTCCTACCTCCCCCCCCCCTTCCCTTTGCTGGCTCAAGTGAGTTTGCACACCCAGCCACCCTAGCGGTACAGGCACTTTTTCATGTGTAAAATACAGTTTAGAGCAGGGGTCCTCAAACTAAGGCCCGGGGGCCCTCCAAGGTAATTTACCCGGCCCTCGCTCAGGGTCAACCTAAGTCTGAAATGACTTGAAAGCACACAACAACAACAACAATCCTATCTCATCAGTCAACAGAAGGCTCACACTTCCCATTGAAATACTATTAAGTTTATATTTGCTAAAATTGTTCTTCATTTTAATTATTGTATTGTTTTTAAGTGGTTTTGCACCACAAATAAGATATGTGCAGTGTGCATATGAATTAATTCATATTTTTTTCAAATTATAATCTGGCCCTTCAACAGTTTGAGTGACTGTGACCTGGCCCTCTGTTTAAAAAGTTTGAGGACCCCTGGTTTAGAGGGCCTATAAATATTTACTGTTTTTCTGCTTTTGTGTGGTTCCTGCACCCCTAACCCCTGCAAAAGTGGAGAGCCAATTGGAAATCCAATAAATAGAGAGAGAGGGAATTATTTGCTCTGTTAGTGTTAGTAAAATGAAGTGATGTGAATAGTATATTCTGGAACTTGGGGTTATCCAAATGGATGCTAAAAATAATGTTTATTTCTGAAAGCTATTTTCACCTAAATGGAAGGCAAAACCATAGCTTTGCAGATATTATCCATGGATAGTTTCAAAACGCCCCAGAAACCAGAAGAACTTAAGATAGGAAATAGTAAGCAGGATAAAAAATATAGCTAGCTGTCTCTTTCTATGATTGACTACAGCTCCATTTTATAGATATTTCATTTACTCTATAATTGTTTTTTTTAATGGAAAGGATTGTTCTCTTCTGTCATTCAATCCTATAGTAACTTTCACATTCCAAAGAAAAATCATTGTTTTCTACCATAAGGACACCAGATCCTATCCTATCTTGGGAGCTAAGATTTGAATGGGAATCCACCAACATATACCAGAGAAAGGAGTTGGCAAACCACTCTTGAGTATCGCTTGTCTAAAGCAACCCTATGAAATTCATGGGGTTGCCATAAGTCAACAGGCAATTTGAAGGCATACATGCAGTGAAATTCAATTGAACACCCCTCAGGATAGGGTTAAACTAAAGAGTTATGAAGATATCTCGTATGCCCCAGTGAGTTAGTTTTGAGGGAGAAAGATTATGGCCTAATTTGAATCATTAGCCTAATTGAATCCATGCAATCATAGGAAATTAAAATCGATGTAAATTCTATTGTGTTTAGGACTAAAAACTGGATTGAGGTATAGGTATAGGAAAGTAGACAAAATTAGCAGGGCAATGTAAGCAAAAACAGAGGCTCTGGAGTTTCTCCATTACTGTTTCATAGTCTATCTTGATAATTATTGAAATATAGGTGGTATAGTGGGTATTTTAAAACATGTCTAAAAGGTTTGGTGTCCTAATTATATATTATTCCAAATTTTATGTAACGTTTCATTAAAGTATATTTAACTGGATTGTGTTCAGAAAAAGATATTATAAAAAGGAGTACTTACTTTTTGTAATATCTTCCACATTACAAGAAAAACTAAACAAAATGCAATTCGTTATATTATATTAGTGATACTTTCAGGCTTGCCAGTGCATGAGAGAGTAGGTTATTCGTAATTAGATTTCTAGTGTTTAATTTTTTGGTGCTGCAAAATTAATTAGCCCATGATGTATTAGTTGTAAAGTAGCAACAGTATTAAAACCTTCTACGATAGATGTAAGAATTTCAAATAATGAGTTTAAATGTGTGCATATGAAATGTGCATTGCCTATAAAACCACAGAGTTCCAAATTACTTTATTAACAAAAGTCTAAGGGATTTTTAAAAACTTTTATACAGATAATTTCATTCAGAGGACCAAGCAACGATACAACAACCCACGGTCTCTGTCAACAAAAATAAACCTTGCTGACATGCAGACGGAAATCAGGTTGAGACCACCTTATCATATTTCCTTGTCTGATTTGGCCTCAGCAAACGGATATGCACATATGTCTCTTCCAGAATACAAAGGTACTGGGAAAATATCTACAGGTGAGTTTGTTCTCCTGAAATATAGTCTTGTTCTTAAAGATCTGGGATTGGATCTGTTTGCAAACTTATAGACTTCTTGTTCACATCATTTAGTCTCTTGTGGTTGATTTTTTAAAATGGTGATGGTGGGACTTGGGACCCTGATGTAGGTGGGTGATCCTTTGCCCCTTTTATGGTCCCTTTCACAATTCTCCCCTTTTTAGTGTGGAATTCAGAATGGGAAAAGGGAGGCTCCTATTGTTCCAGTTCAGTCTTTCCTCCCATTACTAATAGCAGAATGTGAGAGTGTATTCCAACTGGGACTCTGACAGGGGCAAAAGTTTAAAGTATCTCCTGCCCCACATCCACACACCGCAGGTCCTATCCCCCCCCCCCCAATTAACCAGGGAAGTGCGGATGGCATGAATAACACTATGCCTAATTGGTGTTATTTTACCTGATCTGAAATTATGCCAAGTGCTTTGAATTAATATTATTTCGGTTTTGGTGCCCACCAAGTGTTTTGCTTGAAACTATAAACGCTAGCAAAACAAACTTAATGTCGCTGCTCACCATAAAAGACTAATAATAAAACTTTATTTATATTCTGTCCTATCTCCCCTGGGGGACTCAGCCAGACATTATTGTACTGATTTTGAATGCTTGATGTGAAGTTTGGGGAAAAAGAAGTCTCCTTTCATCACAATGAGTTCTGAAGTGAACTAATGTCCTTTTAGCCAAGTCTACTTCATTTTGTGGGTTCTGGAATGCTGGATTTGGAACATATATATGTTTAAAATAGAAAGCTGTATTTTAAACAATGACATCCCCTCAATTGTTGATTCCTAATTACATGTTGAGTAGTGTGTAATTTGTTTTACAAGGAACATGAAGTGTATTTCTTATAAAGTTTGGAAACAGAGGCCCAGACAGTATCGTTCTCTTCTGCAGAAATTCCCTTTGTCAATCCTGCGCCTTCTCTGACTTTATGAACTGCTTTGGAGAGCCTTTTTTTTTTGCTGCTGCTGTTCAGTGCAAACAAGGCAGAATGACACCCCTCTCTATATTAATGTTCCAGCTCATTAACTTCATTGTTGGCACCTTTACACTTCACTGACTCAAACAGAATGATTTAAATATGGTTCAATAACCTTATTGTCACTCTCTCTATGTTGCCTAGACTACTGTGGATTTTGTCTTATTTTTCATATTCAGTTTCTGTCACTTGTTGTGAAATAGCACAGCGATGGCTTGTACATACATTTACTATGAAGTGGCAGTCATTTGTGTGTAGCACTGACTCTTCAGATGAATGTTTACAAAAATGCTAACTCCACCCCCCACCCTGATTTCCCCCCATTATTTTCAGTATGATTGCTAATACTATTGGTATCAGTGGTTGAGAAGAATCCCTTGTCTCCTGTCATTGGGAAAAGTTAAATCAAACGTGTTTAACACTGGTTGTAAATTAACCTTCAGGGCAATAACTTAACACTTTAACAAAGGAAAAAATACTGAGAACATGTGTTTCAAGATTGTGATTTACTATTGCTCAGATGATAATTGTGGATTAACTTTACCAGCCAGTTTTTTGTTCAGCTTGCCTAGAGCTATCGTCTAACAGTTCCAGCCTAGTACTAAACAGTTGAACTGTATTAACCTCAATTTCATCTTTGTTCAGGCCTCATAGAGCTTCAATTTTAGTTTCAATGAAAAATATCACAATGTACTTCAAAAAGTTACACTTCACTCTCTTCTCAGATTGCAGGTATTTTTCATCTGTATTTGTAATATTTAAGGAGTCAACTCCATGAGTTCTGGCATTCATTTCTAAGGAATGGAAGAAAGAATTGCACAGTGTTTGTTGGATCATGTTTTTGATTACAGTTTCATTTGATTCAAATTACATGATCTTGAGCAGGTGGAAGATGCTGAAAAATAGCATCTGTATTTTCACATAGACCTTAATGGCAATGTTTTAAAATATTTATAATGTCTTTTTTCTTTCTTTCTTTCTGCAATCCAGCCCCTCACCAGCGATTGGAACCAGTGACACTGTCAGGAATTGTTTCCTTTGTGCTCAGTCTTTTATGTGGAGCTTTGAATTTAATTCGCGGCTTCCATGCAATAGAGAGCCTTCTGCAGGTACCGCTCCCATGTTGATGAATGTCTAATAAGAAGAGTAATGAAAGCCTTTGAGGAATTATCTGTATTTTTAAACAAATACTATTGCAGTGATTAGTAGAATAAATGAATCATTTGGATAAGGAGAGGACTCTCTTTTCCCACAGAGGATAGGATGGGTGGGTTTGGCAACTGTGGTCTTCAGGATGATTTGGAACAAAGCTCTTCGCTGCCTTGTTTTCCTAACTTCATGAAACTGCGATTGCTGGCATGTTACAACTGCCCATGTAATTTCTAGATACTCTTTTTAACAAAGGAGATGTCCTTGATGCATTATTCGTCGCACTTCACGATCGTGATCATATAGCTGTAAAGTTATATTGACTTGTACTCTATAAATGTCAGTGGATTATAGTTATAATTTATGCTTCCCACCTTAACTATTAAAGAGCCTTCTGTTTTGCATGTAATTTTGCTCTCCTCCAAATGTTACTCTCTGTTCTGAACCCGCTTTTCAAAAACCTTCATTCTCTGCTTCTTCCATTAAAAAACAATGTACGAAGTGTGTTAAATAATCATTTACTACTACTGCTAGGAAACATTGTGCCACATGTGTGAAAGATTGATTTTTCTCTCAGTTTTCACAGACAAATCCCCTGAGTTAGGATGGCACAGATTTTATATTATATGAGATGGTCCCATGTCTATTACAGAAAAAAAAATAGAACTGGGATCATCCAAGCACAAAGGTCCTCCACATAGAGAAAATAAATGATAACTCAAAAAGATGTGGAAATCATGTATTTTACTCTATCCCTGTGGTATTTCAGTTGCTATATGAGTAGCTGGTAAATACTCTCTTGTTATATTTTATTATATTCCCTTTCATGTTTTTACTTGGTGGGATTGTACCACCATCTAGTGGATGTGCTAGGATTTACATGGCTTCAAAAATGTGTCTATGTTCCAATCTAGATCTGAGGTGCTACAGATCAATCTTTCTCAGTGCTGACCTTAGAAATCACTTACTGCAAGGATCGAGTGTGCGTACATTTTTAAGAGCAAAGGAAGTCTCCCTTCTCTCTCCCCTCCCTTCCACTGCTGAACACCATCTGTCCCCCAACCTTTGATTTTTTTTCTTATTCTTCCAGTCAAAAACTGATTGAGAGAAAAATCAAGAAAAAATGTGCACTTGGTCTTTGAGAATCATGCTAAAACAGCACTTCAGTTAGTTGTATGAATTACGTAAATGCATGTCTGGATAATGTGGAATCCATTGCTTTGCGAATTTATTTTTTGTATGTGTATATTTTCAGGATGATAGAGAAGACTTCAGTTATGTACTTGCCTTCTTTCTCGGCACAGCAGCTTGTTTGTATCAGGTAGAACATATTTCTTACATATTGGGGTAAGGGATACTCAATCTGTATTGATCTCTTTGTCATAGGAAGATACAGAGCCACCTTATAGCACTCATAGCCAACTAAAGTTCATTATTATTGTTTGTTCAGCCTCTGATTTTTATTAGATTTTGTGCCATGAATCTTTCCCAGTTTTACATTGGGGTGTGAGGATTCACAGGTGGGGCCTTCCTTGTGCAAAGCATTGTGCTTCCAGTTAGCTGTCACCCTTTCCCATATATTTTGTTTCCTAATATGGAATCCATGATAAAAAAACTGCATTGTTGGATCAAATTTTACTATTTGGTCAGCTATTTTGGGGTGCAGGTACATAGACTTGTGTGGCCATGTTTCATTATGATTTCCTTGTTTATGAAAGAATGTGGGAGTTACAATAATAATACAAAACTTTATTACGGTCACTGACCAGCTCAAAGCAGGGCACAAGCACCCTGGGAGGGGAAGCACAGCTCCCGAGTGAAGCAGCTATTAAAAAATAGATTAGAAAATAGTTTAAAATCACAGTTTAAAACACAGGTTATTGTAACAAGTATGGAACCGAGGTGGGGAGGGGGAGATTGATAGGAGGGGTCAAAACACTGGGGAGGGGGGCACTAAAGGGGAAGGGAGGGGCACATTCTATTCTAATTCAATTCAACAACCACAAAATACTGGGAATAAATGTCTACATGCCCCCTATGAGAAGAAAAGCCCAAGTTAAAGTCACATGATCTGAACTGGAATCCTATGCCGATGATCTTATACTGCAGATGCCGATGCGTTTATACTCTTGGGTGGTGACTTCAATTCAAGGATGGGCCCAGATGACCCCTCTATAAGCAGCAGAACTGTCTATCTCCGACACATGAGGATGATGGACCTCTCCTTTTCTGACAGTCCAAAGACCCAAAATTGAATTTTGCAGGCCTGTGTCTAGCCAAAACAACTTATATGCTAAATCATTACATCTTAATTGGGGTGCTGGAAGGTGCTTACCCAGCCAAATTACCTTTCTTTCAGGCGCTATCAATTACATAGCCATTTCAAGGGAATTCCTCCCCTATACTAAATCCCTAAAAGTTATGCCCAAACTTGAGAGCGACCATTTCCCAATCTCTCTTCAATTAAACTCCTTCTCGCAGGAAACTCACATAACTGAACACTACAAGCCTCTACTACTGCCAACAGAAAGATCTTATAACCGAATCCCACACTGAGCCAGAGAATAACCGATCTGCTGACCACGGATCAGCTTTTAATCCTTCGCTCCTCTCTGACATCAGTTGAAACTGCCAGCACACTCATGGCAAACTATAGAAACATCATTCAAGAGTTTCAGAGACAGTTAAGTCAAAGCAAAAACACAGAATGGAAACAGCAACATCGACAACAGTATCAACAATCCCAGGTGTGATTTGAGAAAGAGTGTATTTCTGCCAATAAAGCACTCACTTTTCAAATCCAACACTTCACCTACAACTGTATAAGATCGCCTTCAGCAAAAGAGACAATATAAACAATTGCTGACTCGCAAAAAGAGAGAGGCCATGAAAAATAACTGGGTACGGCTCATCCAAGCTGTCAAGGCTAAAGATAGAGCCACCTTCTGGCATACCACATCTAATATTCAAAGTTGTGATCGACCCAAATTTGCTGGGAAGCACATTTTCAGGAACTTTACAGGGATACCTCGTTGGACATTGTGGGTGGAAATTCCTGCCCAGTTTCATCAATGGAAAATCTTCCTGTGTGGCCTTCAGTGGCAGCTTTGGAAATTAAGAGTCTTGTAGCTCAATTAAAAATAGGAAAGGCACCAGGAGAAGATTTAGAGGTCATTAAGAACAATTTGGACTTCTGGTCCCCCATCCTAGCATCATTGTTTACCTGCATAGACAAATATGGGCAGATACCAAAGGACTGGGGGCTGGCAGTTATTGTGCCCATGTATAAAAAGAAAGGGAAGCAGAATGACCCTGCAAACTATAAACCTATTAGTCTCCTCAGTACCATCAGCAAAATATACGCAAAGCACCTTCAGTGGAAACTGCTGGACTGGATGGAGCAAGAGAACATATTTGCAGAGGAGCAAGCCTGCTTCAGAGAAGGACGATCCACCGTCGACCAATGCATAGTATTGCAGCATCTCATAGAAAAATACTATGCTGTGTTTATAGATGTCAGAGAAGCTTTTGATTCCATCTCCCATACCAAGCTATGGGGAAAACTTGGGCCCACCTTGGACGACTCCTACAACTAATATGGACACTCCATGAAGGAACTACTCTGAAAGTAAGATGCAGTCCCCAGGGCCATCTTACCAAAGCAGTTGAAACTGAGACAGGTATCAAGCAAGGGTGCATTTTGGCCTCACTATTATTCAATTTCTATATGAACTCAGTGGTGGAACATCTATACAACTTGGGCTGCCACCCTGCTTTATGCAGATGATGCAGTTCTTCTTTTAGAACTCAAGTTGGACTGAAAAGAGCCCTGAAAGCATTAACGAATTACTGCGAGGCAGAACAGCTGCATCTCAACTTTCAGAAAACCAAAATTATGATGTTTGCTAAATGACCCAAGAAGTACAACTGGAAAATAGATGGAATGTGGGAGTTTTTATTTCATTAAATTCTATCTCTTTTCAATATCTCAGTGTGAAAGTCATAGGGTTATCCCAGTTTAATCAAGCAGCACCTCTGTGAAATTGATGAGACCAAAATTAGTTTGCCTATGGCCATCCACTGCAATATTTGGAAAAAAGGCAGTGAAGGACATGTTCGGTTCCTCACCATCACTGGCGTTCGCATGTCGCTTTTATTGAATGACTGCTAGATAGGCCAGTTGTGCATAACTTTGGCTGGCTACTAGAGTGATGGCCTTTATATGGCAGATAAAAATAATGTATAATTTCTACACAAACCACTGCTGTGCTTACCACGAGCGGTAGAGTGACCCACTTGTAATTATTTGATACAATCCAGCATGGACTTAAATGGGCTCTCCACTTAGTGATTTCAGCAGCTGGGATATGCCCCATTTGTATTGGGTTATGGCTCGTATATTGGTATCTGTATAGTGAAAAATACATCTTTCTGTCCTTTAATCAAAGATTGGCATCCAGAACCATGTCCCATTGACACAAAGATGTTTCTTTCATGTAATTTTGAAAATGTTTCTTTGGCACAAACACAGGTCAGCTGGGGAGCTGGTATCAGAAATGTAGGGTGTATCTCTTCTCTGTGCTTACAAGCACATGCTACCTATGGCTGCTTCATTAGTCTGATTCCTATCTCCTCCCCTCTGGTTTTCTGCTATATCTCTCTTTCCCTCCCTCTCCCCATCCATCCATCTCTTGCTGTTTGTTCCTCATTCAATCTCTGTTGCTTCTTTTCTCTGTCTTTGTCTGTTACTGTTTCATTCTCGGCCATCTATTTACCCCCATGTGATTTTTTCTAATTTTTCTCTCTCCATTCCTATGCACCAATTTGCAGAGTTGGGAAAGCAGCCATACTTCTACAAATAGTTAGTGAAGAGGACAAGCTCAAACATCCCAAGCTCCTCACTGCTGCAGGAGACCTGAAGAGGGATAGTCTTCTTCCTTCTCCAATTTTTACAAATCGTTTTGCTGCCTGCCCAATCAGTGAAGACATTTCTTCATTCCCGCCCCCCTGCCTGCCCGCCCCCATAGGACCAAATGCCTGGAGAAGGGCAGAAATCCCCACTCTCCACTAGTTGGCATAAGAGTCATTGAGAAAGTGGGCTTCCATTCCCTCCAGCCTTTGTTTGGTAGGGCAGCCTCTCTCACACCTGTAAGTGAATGCAATAAAATTAGGGGGAGGGGGGACACTCCCATGCAAGCATCTCATTGTAGCCTTCTGGCTGTATTAGTCCCCCTGGTGCAACACAAGATTGAGTATGTTGACTCTTGAGACAGTGAATTGCAAGCAGGTTCGTCAGTTGTCATGAGTGTGACTAATCAATGAGGAGATTTGTTGCTTGAAGGAAAATTAAAGAGTTAATGCAGTGTGTAAGAAAATTACCTTCTGTTGCTATCTCCATTAATAGATGGGTACTGAAGGTAAGGAAGGCATTTTGTGTTCTTGGCATAACCAACTTTGTACTGCCTTTTGCTATTTTGCCTCAAGCTTAATTGTGTATGTTTCAGAGAGTTGTAAGAACCATAAGGTGTCAAATCCACATTTGGAAATTATCCCAAACTCCCCCGCTTTCTGCCTTGACTATCGGGATTCTGGAGTAGAACAATAAAATACATTGAGGTGATTTTGTAGGCCAAAATCAGTGACAGATTTATCCTCAGAGCACTCAGGGTTTTTTTTTTCTTTTTTTGGGAAGCCATTCAGTGTTGAGGAAAGCAAAGAGAACCATGGAAGGAAAAAGGCTGTGCACAGTTTCTGTCCTTGTGGAAAAAATTATTTGCATATGGAATACAGGATGCTTAACCTTTATTTTCTCTACTGTCTTGTTAGTCTAATCTAGTAAGGCTCAAGGAATTACTCATACTTTAATTGCTGCTTTTTTTTCTTTTCTTTTCTTTTTTTTTTTTTTGCAGTGCTATCTGTTTGTATATTCCACGGGCTGGCGGAACATTAAGTCCTTCCTGACTTTTGGCTTAATCTGCCTCTGCAACATGTACCTTTATGAACTCCGCAACCTCTGGCAGATCTTTTTCCATGTGACGGTGGGTGCATTTTCAACTTTACAAATCCGGCTCAGGCAACCACAAGGGAAGTCTGCTGACTACAATGTGTGACAGGGGTCTCAAGGCAAACTTGATCAAGCAGTATTCCTCTCAGAAACGAACAGCTTTTCCGTGAGAGAAGCTCCCTGTACTCTACGGCATCATTGACTTGACAATTCTTCAAAGAAGAGCCGAAAATATTCAGGAACTAATTGGGGTACGAGGGGAGGGGGCGGTATTGCTATTGGAGAATGTACCCTGAGGACAAAGGAGAAGTTTGGAGGACAGCATGAAAAATGCCACATCCAGAACTATGGAAATGGCAAAGATCTGTATTGGGCTTGTTTTGCATACCAAGTGATTTCTGCAGTCCCAGACCATTTTTGCCTTTGTGAGGCAGTTGAAAAGACTGAAATAAAGGGATGGCATCGCATATTAACAAACTGTTCAGTATGAATGAATTCCTGGATGCCAGATTATTGGGTTGCACATAAATGTAATGATGTGTGTCTGCATTTTCCTTAATTAAAATCTAACCCGGAAACCATCTGTTCATGGGGATTAACTCTTGGGTCCCAAAGGCCTGCCGTCTAGTGCTGAGTTAATTATGAGCTGCTTTACCACTACTTTTCTTTTTTGCAGTGCAATGTACTTTGAAAGAACGCTTCGGAAAGTGACCCCCCTGCCCCAAATAACATCATTGCATGATTCTGTATTCAGTCCCCTCTTCTAATTCTTGAAGGATTAAATGAAGTTGGCAGAGTGAAGTATGGTAGGAAGCAGAAATCTGAAGTTGATATTTTTATGATACAATGAAATGATAGAACCTTGGCCCACTGCAGGTGGCTAACTGATTTAGGAAAACATTCAATTGTTTGCAATTCACTTGGATTGTTATGGCATCCATGAGGAAATGAATGGTTTTTTTATCACTAGATACACCCGTTTGTGTGCAACAGATGTTTAGCAGAAGAAGTGGGCAACGCAGTGAGCCATCGACATTTCTCAATTGCAGATAGGATATAGCTAATGAAATAGGTTGGAAGACACTGCAGGAAGTCTGTTACGGAACAGCCATAGATTATATCCAGCATTTTTGCTGTTGTTTGTTCAAATAAAAGCTGACCACCTTTGGATCCATATTGTGAACACAAGCTTCTTTGTCCAGAGAGTGTCACAAGATGAATGTTATGGTTGTATTCATCTTTGCCTTGAAGATAATGGCTTATTTAAGTAGCGCTGATTTAAGTAAGAATAAAATGTGACACAGCCATGTTTTATGGGATCATTCAGTTGGAAGAGACCAAAAGGACCACCCAGTCCTTATTTCTTATATAGGCTCAGAAATTGATTACTTGCTAATTGGTGCCGGCATGTTAGCAAGACATGGGAATTGATGCCTTTGTTGTTGAATATTTTTAGTATCCAAACATGTTCTGGTTACGATCAGGACTTTAGTAGTTGAGGTCAGAGATGATTTCTGTTGCCAGATAAGTTACAGATAACAAATCACTTGTGATGATATAGCTTTTTGCCAACTTCATGGGCTGGGTGGACTAAACTGTAGACAACAGCAAGATGGTATTAGTTACGTGGGAAAAACGGGGGGGGGGGGGAACAGTTATTGTGAAGGGACTATTGTATGTTTACCCTTGAACTTCTGAATGTTTTACAATCTTCTGTGTTTGGGTTACAAGAAATCTACCATGCAGTTAAGGTTATTGTGCACTACAGCGAAGAAAAGGATTGTGTTTTCAATGTTGTTATATTTTTCAGACTGCTTTACACAATGTGTACATATTTTTTCCTGTCATTTTGGTTTTATTTTCAGGGATTGTATGTTAATAACCAGGCAGCGGCTACCTGATTGCTATGTTTGCAGTTAGAATAGTTCTGCCGTACTTCAGTTAGGTTGTGTATGCTCACCGTGCAGAAGATATGTTGTATACCCAGTTGTAAACAGTGCTATGACAATTTTGTATTTCTTGCTTTCTCTGTTTTGGAGTGAGCAATTGTCAGAGGTTAGGAGCTGCACAGAATCCCCAGTGGTTGAGGTGGGGGGGGGGGGGCAACTAGCCACCATCCCAAATCCATTCTTAAACAAAAATAGTTCCAGAAAGTCTCTTAATACCCTGGGGATTTGGAGATAAAATTGCTATGTTTTCACTCTGCTGACCGTTTTGGGCCTAAGGAAGCCACTCTTTCAAACAGGAATTTCTGGGGAGGTAATTTTTTAAAAATGGGGGAAGTATGCTGGGGTGCCCCTGGAGATGATCAAAATGGCTTTGGGGTAGGCTGTTGTCCATGGCCAACACTTCCAAATGCCTGCTTTATATGATTCAGAATATACATAAAAGCATCTTCTCCAGCCCCACACATGGATAAGATCCAATGTAGGGCCATGCGAAGTAAGGTCTCTGAGTTCAAGTCCTAACTATAAACTCAACAGATGGTTTTGGAATAAGCTTTCCCAGTTGCAAATAGAAATATCAGTTTTCATTGCAAATCACTTTGTACCAGAAAAGGGCTATCTGAACAATTGTATGTGGTGTTTGCTATTTCATAATACAGGTGGTAAGTAACAAGACTAGCAATGTTCACTGCAATTGGTGTTGATGTTGGCTACTCATTTAAACAGAACTGGTTGCTGTTAAGATGTAGCTGTGACTTGTCTGTACTGTAACAAAGCAGACAAATCATGGGTAAACGTTGCTTTGGTTTAACTTTTACACTAAATAAAAAACTGCTATGCATACATGTCCCATTGAGTCAATAGAACTGAAGTTACTATGTTGGGTTGTTGACTAATTGGTATGTAATACCACATGATTTCACCATACTGAGATGGCTAGTCTCTAGTAATCCAACTAATGCAAATGCTCCTATTATTTTCCATTGATCTTGAGTTTGGGATATTCTTCATGTAATTCCCAGTTAACATTTGCATTATACACTCATGAAAATTACATGTACTATTTTCAAATACTCTGATTTTCAATGTTGGCTGGCGTCCTGTTTGTGACTCATGATAGGAATTATGTCAGATCATAACAATGTGACCAGATTAAAGATGAGTCCCTACCTCATACCCCTGCTCTCCGATAGCGCAGAAACACCCATATTTGGAGTAAGGGCCCTGCTGATTGCCAACTGAGTTTTTGGGAGAACCACTACATCCTGATGAAGAATCTTACCAACATTTAAAAAAAATGAGACCATGATTTATTGACTTGTTTAGTTTGTCCCTCCTGTCATAGTAGATATGGTTTGTTTTTGCATTTGCCACATGTGCTGGAGAACACCACTGGGCTTTCAAAATGAAGAGCAAGGAGCCCTTTGCTTTACCATTTCATCTTAATGGAGACCAACACAGGGAAATACATCAGCTGTGGATAGTAACTACAGTAAGTTGCACTTAGGTGATTTTCTCAGTTTCATACTGTTTAGCAAGCAAATGCTTTTCTCAACATCTGCAAAATGCACCCCAGGTACTTACATATTTTTGAAGCTTCTGTGTGCATCTGAAGGTGTAGCTAGCATATTTTGGAGCATTTTTTTAATTGCAAAACAATACTCTGCAATTTGCAGTTACCATATTTTTCTGCATAATAGTTGCCACTGCATAATAGTCGCACCCCTGTTTAGGGATTGCATAAATAGGTGTTTTTAGTATTCATCACATAATAGCACATCCTTAGTTCACGCACTCACACTTACTCTCCCCCCCCCCCAAACTATGGAGCAGCTGAGTGAAGCCCCATAGCTGGAGATCTTTTCACCACATAATAGTCCCACCCCCTTTCAGTCGAAAAAGGGGGAGAAAATGCAACTATTGCATTATGAAATCCGGTACGTTGCAGAATTTGAATACTGTAAATGTCAAATTGAAAACACACAGACCACTTCAGCAAGAGAGATCCATGTATGTATAGAACAAACTCCTATATGTTGAGAGATGGATTCACAAGTGTGTTTGCATGTACATTTTGATTAGTATTGCATTGTTCATAGCAGTTGTATTTAATTACTTGGATTTGCTACAGTGCAGTTTTCAGTGTTCTTTTATGCAATCAGGGCTATACTTCTACATATACTTGTGTATAAGTCTAGAACTTTTGAGTTCAAAAAGCAGTTCAGAAAACCTGGCTTGACTTATCCACAGGTCACTGTAAGTACTGTACCACTTAACTCTTATACAAAAGGGAACCATCCCCATCTCTGAGTAGAGAGGTGAAAGGTGAGAGCTCAGTCCATCCAGGAGAACCTAAAATAAACACCAACTCTCTCTCCTCTCTCTGCTGCTGTGCCTCTTCTGGCCTTTTTGAATGTCTTGGCAGGGAAATTGCAACAGTGTCAACCAGAGGTAGCATTGGTGCTTTCCCCTCTCTGAAGAATGACTCTTGACTTATCCATGAATTGTATCAAAATCTGTAATTTTGTCCCCAAAACCTGTCCCTGATATACATGGAGATTGACGTATACATGAGTATATATGGTCGTTTTTTGAACATTGTGAAAAAATTGACCACATGCACATTTTGCAGCCTTCCACTCCAGAGAATGACTTCATGCAAGTTTTTTAAACCAATGTGGATAAGAGTTAAATGATATTATTATTTTATTCTACAAAGTTATTTCTGATCTTATGGAAAAAATGGACAGATTCACAATTGAAACAGTGTTTAATATAGTTGTTAAATTACTTAAACAGATTGCAATTTCCATGGGAAATCATAACTGTATCCATTTTTGCAAGAGCCAAATAAAGAGTGCATACCCCTTGAAATGATCATGACACAATCACAGTCAGAGATACAGGCGACTGAAAATTTCATTGACAACACAATCGCGCAAGGTGGTCTGCTCAAATGTTAAGAATGCACACTTTAAAGCAGGAGGCAAACTGAAAACAAAATGATCCTGTGTTGTGCTATTAATTAAAATCTGAAAGTGGTAAATGATGGTAAAAAACAAAGGGTGGAAGGAAGGTGATGAACAAGCTGCAATACTGTATAAAAACCTTTGCAAATCAGATGGGAATTTCTCTAAAGGTTCAAAAATATAGTACAAGGGCAGACTTGGCAGTTTTCTACAAGTCAGGCTATGCTACTGTTCCAGGATATGCCCTATTGCAAAGGAAGGGATTGAAACAAGAGCGAGAGGCTACTGAAATTCTAGTTTAAAACAGGTCAATGCTACAGTTGTGTTGAGCATTATGACAACTTCACTGAGACCGTGGTTTTCATTCCTTGGTCAAATATAGAAACAAAAGCCCATGCTTTAAATGCCAGCAGTGGGCAATCCTTAGGTTATGAACATTATGGAAATTCTGCCCTGAGAGAAGTGGAAAAAATAGTCAAAAGTTTGTGTCATTTTGAGACAGCCAAATTTAATATCAAAATCCCCCCTGACATATAAAAATATAGGCTTTTCATGCGTTTATATATTTTAATAAAATACGGAGGGAAGTTTGCCTTTAAAAGTTCAAAATGTATTTAATTCAGTAATGCATCTATTAAGAATTCCTCTCTTTCTTTTAACTCAAGACCCTGGCCCTCTTTTTTTCCAACTTGTTCAACAGGAGAGGACAGCACAATATCCCCATAGGCTCTAGCAATGGTATTAATTGTTTGGTTCTGAGGGGGGGAAACCGGCTTAAATCTTCGAAGTGCGTTCCACAATCAGTGCAAACTAAGAATAAAACTTTCACAACATCAGTCCAAGAGTGCAAAAAAATTCTAGGTAAGATTCCGCAGAAGCACTACAGGCAGTTATTACACGAGTTGTAAACATACAGTCTTTCAAAAAGAAAATCTTGCCTCATCTGCTGTTGTTCAAATACACAACAGAAGTGGTGGTCACTATAATTCCTCACAAATAACAATTTCAAAATTGTTTCTTGATTACTTCTTGAACTCAGCTCCTTTTAATACCACTAATGGATGTGGTTATTCTAGCTTTTTGGTTTTCCTTGTCTGCGTAATCATAGTTTTCATGCACTTCATTTCCTCAAAACAAACTCAAGCATCCCTTCGTTTGGGGTTGTTATATTTCTTTCCTGGCCTGTACAGGGTTTGTCTGAAAACTGCCAAGTCTGCAATTCAGAAAATAATGAAAAGAACGTCACACAATTCAACAGCTTATGTACATCTCCCACTTGCCCTGTGTGCACAGCCCCACGGCTGGGCCAGAACTGAAGGGCAGAAACATTGCATAGCCCTGACCGACCCTCAGAGGGAACCAGGTGGGGGGAAAGAGAGTGTGTGGGTTTGCCCTCAGCAACACTTGACCCCCTTTCCAAATACCAGGAATCTTCACTGATGGTGATGCCATAGAAGTGGCTCAGATGCTAAGGGGGTGCTAGACAGAGTCCAAATATATCTGCTCTGCCTCACAGTTGGCAAATGCCACTCGAAGGTGCCAGGGCTAAGCTAGTTGGCTGCATGGCAGTGGTCCAACCCTGCTTCACATCCCTTCACAAAGCAATTGGTGCACCCCACTACAAGTGGATTTCTTCTTGTGTGCCTGTTCAGAGAGTTTACAAAATATAGAATTTGGATGTATTAGAACTCAATATTGTCTATATTAAAATCCTTTAAAAAGCCCACACCAAAACCAGCAGTCCCTCACACTTTAGCGAAATCTCCCTGTCCACGTGTTTCATGCTAATAGTTAATCATTCACATGTAAACAGATATGCGCCAAACAGGAGCACCAAGGCCTTTTCATGTGATGAATATGCTTGAAGAGTCATTTTTCTTCACCTTAAGCAAAGCTTCTCTCTCTCGCTCTCTCTCTTTCTCTCTCTTTAACGCATCAGTCTCGGTAAAAAGAATAAGCCTCACATCTAGTGTAGGGACGGCAGAAGTACATGACAAGGCATCTTTTTCCAATGTAAAAACCTTACTCGTGGCACTATTAGGAAGGCCCCTTGAATACAGCAGTAGTGGGTGGCATTGTAATTTTCAAAGCCCACTCAAACACCTAATAAAAGAACAGTGGCATACTTCAAGGAGCTGGACAGCACGGACCAGAAATAGTATGGAAGTGCACAGCCTTTCCAAAGTAATGCTCTTCATTTTTTCTCCTTTTGTCACAATGAATCATACTTTCCTTCAACCAAGTAAAAACATTGTGTTACTTGAAATAAATACTTAAATATCTTAAGTCCTGCTTAGCAGCCTCCTTGAAGATCTTAAATCTGTGTCTTCAAATTCCATTAAGCATAAATCTTTGGTCAATTCACTTAACGTTTAAACTTGGAGGGGGCGGGGAGATCCACAGCAGCGCTAGGTAACTTCTGAATGGTGTGCTCTGTAGCCCAGACTGGGTTTTTTTTCCCCTTGCACACAATCCTGCTAGGAAGGCATCACATGAAAGCCTCATCCATGCCTTTGTATTCGATTCGCTGAAGAACAGCAGGTTTTTCTCCAATTGACTGAGGTGTTGGAATCAAACTGAGCCATTCTTGAGAGTCCCTTTTGCCCACTGCTGCTAACTTGCTGATGGGCCTTCATTTAAGAAGTAGGTAGTCATTTCTCCTTTACCTTTGACCTTAACAACCCCTCGGCATTCTAGCTGATAGTTGTTGACCATTAAAACCTGATACATGTCCGTGGTCACCTGTGAAAAGGAAGCATCAGGGATAGAAAAGCAGAAGTAATTACACTTCATGCAATCGAACACAATACTTATGGGGGCAATGAAGACTACATCAAAGTATACTGGAATTATGCCAGATGAAACTTCTCACATTCATGGTGTTCACTATGAACTCACAAATGGACAGTGGTAATTTAGACACACATTTTTAAGGAAGTTTATATCCTAGGCACTTCCACATCAATTTCTGGTTAGCTTATTTACTGAAACTAGATATGACCAAACTCTCTCAGGGAGCATTAGACAAATGTACGAGAAGAGGTCATTGGGTGAGTTAGTGGAGTGTCTCCAGATAATGGCCAGCCTTTAAACCAGTTTGTGGTAGCATGGCCTCTACTACTTTCCATTTTTTTGGAAATGCCTGACTGGACATGGGGGATATATCAAAATGCATACATGGCAATCTTTCATCCTTTACATTACCTATGAATTGTGGAAATGTTCCTAAGATAACAATTTGAGGAGATGGGAGAGGAATAGCTGCCAGAAGACTCACCTGAATCCTATCAGGCACTCCTGTGCTGTCCATGCGACTGGCTACATTCACTGTGTTCCCCCAAATATCATACTGGGGCTTACGTGCACCTATGACCCCAGCTACCACTGGACCAGCATTGAGTCCTAGAAAAGACAACATAAGGAGTTAGGCACAGGCGAGCAAATGGTTTTGTACACACTGTCCTTGCAGTATCACAGCTGGAAAGGGACTGCAACGATCCAATGAATTGACTATATATTAAATGAGAAATCTATTAACTTTTTGAAAGAACTGTGCCATGCACTAAAGGGCCATGTCTAATTTCCATAGTAGGTGGAATGTAATATATTAATAAGAAGGTACCAACCTATTAATTATTGTACTTTCCACACAAAAACTCTGTTTCTGAAATTATTTATTAAATATAGAAAAACTACTTACAAAGTTGATCTTAAAATTGCAAAAAATGTAAAATTATAGACCTATTGCTGGTAGCTCTGTTCAGATATATATACACCAACAAAGCTTTATATTTCACCGGCCGCAGGAGCCTGGCCTGTTAACACCTTATGCCCTAAACACCTTATTCTCACTTGAACTTTACTAGTTCAAGTAAGAATTTTGACACCCATCTCTGTTATTGGACTGCAACTATTAGCTATGCTGGCTAGAGCCGATGAGACAATGTGGTTCCCAATCCTGCTTTGAAATGATGATAATTTAGTAACAGGATGATGAATTGTATAAAAGCACACTATTGTCTGCAAGCCACCCATGACTAATCTGTTGCCAATTCTTAAAAGATTTTTCATAAAGGAAAGCCCTACAGTTCCATTGCACCCCCCATTTTGAACAACTTCTGTTAAAATTCCACATTAACTCATCTGGACTGGGAATTTTTCTTCATGTCAACATAAATGGGAGGATACTACAGTCATGGGAACATAGTTACATTATAGATGTTATAACCCCTGGTGCAGGATCTCAGGCACCATTTTAAAGTACTTCCAGCTTTCAATATGAAATTTGCATTTTTAACCATGCAGGATGCCCCCCCTCCCGGATGAATCTCAGCAGAAAAAAAAAACATAAAAATGGCGTTTACCTATTTTCATCTGGAAGTTGTTGAATGAGTGCTCGTTAATGTATTTCATTTGATCCATTAACTTCATTGCAAAGTCAGCCAGGGCCTTGATATGTGTTTTGCCCACTTTGTCATAAGTGGAATCATTCAGGCCAGAAGCAGCCATGTATGTGCTGCCTATGGTTTTGATCTTTTCCAGCTGTCGAAACTGGTCCTCACTTATGATCTGCAGTCAAAAAGGGAACCAAGTTAGCAAAAATGCATGTGTCACTCAGTATATGACATATGCTTCCTGTATGAGTATGCAAACTGTATTATGCAGATGGCATCTTGCAGGCCTTATGTTCCCATGTGGATGCCATATAAAGGGTATGAGACTAATTTACTCTGAATAGGATCATGTTTCAGCTGTCATGGCCAGATTATGCTTTGCATCACTGTAGTCGTTTGAGGGATAGTCTCAGAGTCCAAGGAACTGACACAAGTTCCTTCCATGATATGTGGAAGACTTACAGGACATAAGTCTTATTGGATCTTTCTGGCTGGAAAAGATTCTTCAGGAATGAAACATTGTCTGCCTTAGCAACATGTCTGAATGAGTATATTGTACAACAACACTAAAAAGAGTAAGAACAGTGAAGTATAGACAAAGATGTCACACAAGTTAGACATGCAGCGCACCAACCTTGGTGCTGTCCAGCTTCAATCCATTCATTTGTTATCTACCACCTTTCCTTAGAGCAATTCCTTCTCCATTTCTATCTCCACTGCTATCTTGTGAGGGGTACCATGCTGAAAGAGTGGGTGTTTATCTCAAGGGTATAGCTGAATTGAGACCAAAACTCAGGCCTCCCTGGTATTTACTCAGCACTGGGACCATCACAGAACCTTATTACAGTTGGCAACGATATCTCACCTCATCGAAGTCAGCAATGATTTCATTAAGGAGCCTCAAGCACTCCACCCCTTCGTTGTTGGCTTCCAATTCTACGTAGAACTCTGAGAAGTTGCAGATGGAAGCAAACATGACAGCCACGCACTCACAGGACTGGTAATACAGCTCATCGTTCCTCCGCTCCTGCGCAAGAAAGTGGGCTGCCACATCCTTTGGCAAGATGTTGTGGAGAAGCCGTCTGTTGTAGGCCTGTAGTTCCTCCATCTCCTCTTTTTCTTCAGTGGCCTATGCGAAAGAGAGAGAGAGAGAGAAGAGATTGGGAGGGAGAGATGAAGTTCCAATGAGGTGCATTCAGGCGAGACATGAGCTAGAAACAGATATAAGACTTAATATTAGCAACAAAATCATGTGTCAAATACCACTGGAACCTGATTTGGATAATACCTGCATGGATTAACTCAAATTATGTGCTGTTTTTGCAAAAAAATAAGAAGGGAAAAATATCACTTCTTTTCAGTGTGTTTTGCAAAACTACTGCACAAATACAGAGAACTTTCATTAGTTCGGATTTTATGTACTGATGGCCAGTGAAGTAATCACAACAAAGGGAGCCCAGTTAGTGGTAGAAAACAATTTTGTTGTATTTCACCATCTTGGCAAAAGTAGCTATTTTGTACCTCACAAGGAAATTTCACCCAAAACATGAACATTTGCAAGGCTTATTGAGTCTTTTGGGGAAATAGTTTGCACGAAACAAGATGCACAAAATCTGTAATATCTACATATGTAAACAGCTGAAAAAATAAGCACAAATGTTTCATTTTAAAAAAGATCATGTTTGCTGTTGTTATATCCTTGAAGTTCAATCCAATTATGACAATCCTATTCCAAGGTTGGTGGGTTTCTTGAAAGATTTATCCAGAGGGCATTGTTCTCCTCTGAGGCTGTGACTCTGTGATTTGCCCACAGTCACCCAGTGGGTTTCCATAAATCAGTAGGGAGTCAAAGCTTGGTCTCCTAGAGTCCTGGTTCAACATTTGAATTATTACACCACACTACTCTTCAAGTTCCTGTGTCTTCATGTCTACTCTGACTTTTATAGCTTTATCTTATTTTGGCAAGACCTATTCTAGAGAGGTTTGCCATTACTTTCCTCTAAGGCTGAGAGAATATGATTTACCCAAGGTCACCCCTTGGCCCAGTTCAATGGTTCTAGGCTGAAACCCAAGCCACTACACAGCACTGATTCTCTAGAGCAGTGGTTCTCAACCGGTGGGTCCCCAGATGTTTTGGCCTTCAACTCCCAGAAATCCTAACAGCTGGTAAACTGGCTGGGATTTTTGGGAGTTGTAGGCCAAAACACCTGGGAACCCACAGGTTCAGAACCACTGTTCTAGAGAAATTTGTACATTAGATAAAGTGTGGAAATTAATGCTCAAATTAGTCAAGAATGCTTACAGATATCTATTACGCCAAACCCTTACAATCTAACATGAACAAGATGGCAAGAAAATGTAGATAAGATGTGAAAAACTACATCAAAATCAAAGCTGAGAGGTTTTCAAATCCTTTGTCTTTTATTCCATGCCATTCTATGTGGTTCTGACTTGATAATATTCAAAATGAAACTAATTCAGAGAAATAGGGCTGTAGATACAGGTTGGATGGTGTCCTTCAAGAGCATCAAACAGTGCAGAACAGTTTCTTTTAAAGAAGCTTCAAAATACAAAGTGGTGAGGTTGTGGGTACGGCCCTCCAAGAGCTGTTGGGGATTGAGGAAAGGCGGCCCCCCAGGTTGCCACAGTTGCCACCCTTTGATAGAGGTTTCCTTTGATTTATGAGTACATGGCTGTAACAGCCTGAACAGCAAACATATCCTGATTATGAAAGACCTCTCAAATAATATAATATTCAAAAGCACACACCTGAAGCTTCCAGAGGAAATCAAGCCGTGCTGTCGACTCCACCTGCTGAGCATGGAGATAGACCGCCAACACAAACACTGTGATCACGACAGGGGTTACAATCTTGAGGGCCACCCGGGACACACTTGGAGGACTACATTAGACATGAAAACACACCAGTCTGAATATTCGCAGGCGAGAGTCATTCAGCTGGAACACTACAAGCAAATGCAAGCAACTTTTCAGATGTTTGTGTTGCAGCAGATTCTGGTCTAGCTATTGGTCAGCGAAATTCATGAATTATTCATGCCTCTCATCTCATCATTATGTGAATCAACACATTGTTTCTCCATTCATCCAACATGAACATTGAAGTCCAAGCATTCAGATTCAGCTTTATGTATGGATAATGCATCATTCTCTAATGTCTTTTGATTACTGTAGGAGCCAGGTGTGTTGCGTCATAAGTTCCTCTACGGTGAGAAATAAAAATCTTGCAGAATCTCCAGATTTGATGCATTTAATTTCTTTGCCATTGAATGGCTGGGGACAGGACATTTAAATATAATTGCCTTTGCTCTCTCTCTCTCCTCCAACCTTGTAGTCACATTCCTTCTAAACAGCATGGTGACATTGCAACTGGCTGTATTTAAAGCTGGTTTCAAATCCCAATTTAAGCTAAATCTCTGAAAAGCATTAACCAAAAGAGTGCTACTGATAGCTCTGTAAGAGTGCAAAATGTATGCATATATACATCTCTACCGCAGCTGAGGGGTGTGTGATCCCACAATTCCAACCATGATTAAGGAGTAGGACATATTAATGTCTGCACTAATCATAACCATCCATGACTAAAACTACGTTTGACCCATTGTATTTGTGGGCGCCAGATCCATGGATTCAAAATGTACAGTATGGTATGCAATATACAATAGGAATAGCAAACAATGCTGGGTGGAAACAAATGTGAGGCTCAAGAGATACTGAGGATCTGTTAAATGGCAAGAGGCATGGATTGTGCTGAGCACTACACTCAACCGGTAGATTCCTGTCATTTCATTGATTCTCAGTCTCATGTCTCTCATTCATTCATAATTTCTATGTCTGAATAAGAAAGTACATATAACTGCCATATTCACTCGAATATAATGTAACACACACCTCCATTTTGAAGGTGCAGATTACAAAAAAGGATTTGATATCGAATGTAATGCACCCAACAATACAGGCACAGTGCATCTGGGAGGCAGGCAGCATGAATGAGGCCATTTGGGAAGCCACACCCCGCTAACAGGTTTTGTATTGTTATATTGTGTGTTGAGACCTTGGCCTTTGTAAGCCACATCGAGTCCTTCGGGAGATGCTAGCGGGGTACAAATAAAGTTTAATAATAATAATAATAATAATAATAATAATAATAATAACAACAACAACAGGCGAGTCAGGTGAGCATGTCAGCTTTGCATGGTTTTCAACTGGCTTCAGTCACAAGGCCTTCAAAACTGAGGGGGAAGAATCACCAGTTGGGAGCTCCCACTCCTTCTCTGATGCCACAGGGAACAGTCTCTTTGCATGCCCCCTGCCTCTGGGGTTTTGGGTTCCTCTGAGCCTTTTCACGTCCGCGATTCTAATGTGCATCTAAATCTAATGTGCACCTCAATTTTGACAACATAATTCAGCCAAAAAAGGTGAACATCAGATTTGAGTAAATGTAGTATTTATATAGCATTCACATTTTATTTGATGTTGAAAGTGATCTAGTAAAAGAAAGCATACAGGAGTGTGTGTTTACAAATATAGTATGTCCTATACTAGTTTATTTAAAGGACTTAATCCTCTCTGGATTTTGGGATCCATGGGAGTCCTGGAACCAACCCCTGATGGATACAGTGGCTAAATGTATGCACATTTTAAAAAGGAAAATTAGGGTCTCCTCCACCCCATAACTCACCACATTCCATTTGATGTCCCATTGGGAAACACACTGAAATGACAAAAAAAGACAGGTTTTAGACATGTTTAATTTGCTATACCATATGTAGTTTGCTATACCATTAACGTCTTCTGTGCTCTCTAGGAACTGTCTGTTTCCTCCAGGTGATTCTATGGTGTGCTTCCACCAGAAGTTACCATAGAATCACCCTGGAGAATGTAGCAAATTCATATTGAGGATGCATCTAGGAATGTTCTAGATCCGCCTGGTCAGCCCTACGGCATTGTGCAGCAGAAGTCATTCATTTCAATAGGGTTGACTATTATCCAGAATTTTCTGTTTTCATGGTAAGTACAGGGATCTACCCCCCCACACACACACACACTAATAAGGGGATCGTACTGTGTGTATATTTTTGTTAAAACAGTTGTGCACAAACAACATTACTATGCAAAGGCAGCTGGAAGGAAATCCCCAGCCTCACTGTAAAATATTAATCAAACATATATTTTATAGTTTGTGCCATTGACATGAGCAACAAGGCCATTTTATATTTTGTGTATGCCTCATACTGAATGCATACTGCACTGAAGCAAAGGGAGGCATCCTGCATAGCACCGTGTTACCATAGCCACAAGACATATCTTTTAGTGCAAGTCCCACTGCTTTCAGTGTAAACATATTTCTAAACACAGTTAAGATTGAAGATGAGAGTCTTGCAGCGTAGAGAAATATGTGGTAAATTGAAGCAAAAGAGAGAGATCCTACATTGTGTCTGTGTGCAAACCCTGCTGATGTCATCAGGGCACCCTTCCGCTGCCCATCAGTGGCTGCATTTTGCAGCTGAAAGGGAAAGAGCCATTATCATTCCTGTTGGAGGCCCTCTCTTTTCATTTGAAATAAAATGGCAAAGGACTAGTTCCCAGCATCATCCTTGTCCCCACTGGCCATTTCCTCTCTACTGAATCTCAGGAATAATAGCTGATTTTGCATACAAGGCTGTTGTTGATCACTGATGACATATCAATCTTAATGACACAGTTCTCTCCCTTCTCAATCCTTCGTGTTCCCCATGTCCCCCAACTTCTATGTCTTGACTGCCATATACCATTCCCCTAACATATTTAAAAAGATTCTCAACTTCATCTTCAATACTCATATGCATGTATGTTTTCTTGAAATACAGAGCAAGTGGATAACAGCTCACTTCTGCACAGATATGGTTATGCTAGGATTAGAAGTCCTGATTTCTGGTGGGTCTCACAATCTTGGCAAGAAAGGTGTCTGCTACTGAAACTTTTTCCCCCTTGTCAACTTCAAACAACTTGCTTTTTTCTAGTTCTTTCCACAATTGTTCTGGAAAGGTACAGAATGTGCATACATCCTCAGCTTTTCCTTCTCCCAACATTTGAAGGATCTGCTTTGCTTGTCTCCAAACAGCTCTTTCTTCAAAGGACAAAGGGAGGAGTAGGTGAACTTGACAATTCTGAGACAGATCTGGCACAATTTTAGATCATTCCACCCCAGCAATGAAATGCTGAGACATACTTCAAAATGAGTACGAAATACAAGAGCCTCAGCTTTATAATTCTCCATATGCATTTGCTGAGAATTAAATGCTGATGTTTTGATTGGATTTATTTAACTTACAACCAGTCTTTTCCTCCATGTAGGACGGTAGGGAGCTTACAGTACAAGATTAAAACAAAATAGTTTGTTTCAGTGCTTTGTAAGTTCAGAGGATTCTTGATGGAGGGTCATTTGGCAGGACATTCTGCAATTGAATGTCGAGTAATAGAGGAGAGAACAGCACCTCCAAAACATCATATCCACCATCCCAGGGAAAAGTCCTCCCACAATGGCACAATGGCACATTTATGCTGAAAAATCAGACTGCTGTTAATTCTCTCCAGTAAACACACTGGATTCTAGTGTCATGAAGACCTTCTGTGAATTAGGTGGAATGATTAAATAATAAAAGCAGCTGTTTCACATCACTGTTACAGTTTTTCACTCTGAACACTATGTGGAGCCATAACCACTTCCAAAGAGTTTCTTCTACTAGTAATTTCACATGTACTGCTATGCAGGGGTAGCTCTGTTAACAACAAAAAAATAAAATAAAGGTGATACTAGTATTAATGCAAGAGGGTCAGTCTTTGCATTTAAATTTCATTTTCCCTTTGAAAAGGGAAATGCTTCAGAAAAACTGAAGTGTTAAGTCAGAATACTGTAAATCTATGCTATGCAAACCAGGGGAAGAATTCAATAAAGTAAAGGTGATAGATGGGTGGAGAAATCGATCAAATCCAGTGTGTGAGAATACAATAAGACCCTCTTATTAGCAGACTCAGTATCACCTACCCTCACTCCAAAATATATTTTGCGTGTTTGTGAACTTTTCTAGGTCCTCCAGTCTGATTCTATGGGCTGCCTCCAGCCCACATCACTATTATCCATGTTTTCAGGTATCCATGGCTGGGATGGGGTCTTGGAACATATCCCCAGCAGATACAAGATTTGTACTATGTATATGAGTGATCCTTTTCAAGCTAGAAATCATGGTCCTAGAATGGTCAAGCTGTTTGGAAGGAAGCATGTCTATAGTATTCCATGAACCCATATAGCCTGTCTGTTCAGCTGTCTTTTCATTTCTTGCTAACAGCAACATAAATTTGCCTCATAGTTTTGTGTTATTTCTTTTCTCAAGCTTTCTCTGTTCTCAAACTTTTTTCTTAGACCCTGTCCAAAATTTGAGACACTTGGTGCTAAAAATGTGGTGCTGCTGAGATGCATTACTCTACCCTCATCTGGACACTCTGAAATCTTATTTACATGGCTCCAGTTCCATTGTTTTCCTACTCAATCCTTCAAAGTTTAAAAGAATGGTGTAGGAGGGGACTTGTTAACTTGCTTTCCAAGTTCATTTTATCTAATCATATTATTTATCTCTCTACCTTAATGAGCCATTTATTCACTGAGTGGCACCTCCTCATGGGCCTTACTTTTTCTTCCTCTAATTCAGACACAGTGTCAGCCTTGCAAGGAGATGAGTTGTGTTACCTTGAACGTTGCTGCTAGGCTCATCCTTTTCCACTGTGTCGGAACCTGAAAAAGTACTTTAAACCTTTTTAAAAACTTTTATTTGTTCTAGTATTTGGGGGAAAAACTACTTGCCATTTCTTTTTATAGTAGTTGCACAATGCAGTTATCTATTACTGTTATTCTATTCATTGCATTAAATATTTTTAAAATATTTTTAAATTGGGACTAATAAAGAAATTATATAAAACTTGGAAAATGACACAGTAAAAGTCCTTAATGTTCTCTACAAGGGTAACTGTAGTAATAATAAAATCAGAAAAAGTTGCTTGTTACATCATAAAACTTCAAGTTGTCATGGTTTGCACTCGTTGTGACTCACAATATGTCCAGGAAAGCCTGGTGCTTGGTACCTGGCAATATATTAGAGACGTCTTCTCTATACCTACGAAGCTAAATGTGTTTGACAAAAGTAAAAGAGTTTCTAAGTGGACAGATCATAATGCTATCAATCCTGTTATCTTGTTATGTCCTTGTAACTAGTTAATAATTCTATTAACTCATGGCTTCTATCTTCTGTTATATACTGCTTCATTTGTTTAAGGAGGTGAGAAGACATCTGTATAATTTGCTAATTAGTGTGCATGCTATATAAAGTAATGAAGTAGATTAGACAGATACCTAATGAAATGGCTATAAAATGGTGTCCTCCTCATTTGAAGTAGGTCTACCTAGACTGTGGCTGTCTGCCTGGGAAAAATACTTTCCACAGGCCATAAATGGTCTGCCATGCAATGAGGCCATAACCATAAATGGAGCTTTCACAGCAAGCAAAAATCATTTAATAAGTGTTGAGACTGCAGCTTCAAGTTTTATTTCTGGGAAAAACCTGCTTATTTATTCCACTTTATTACTGACATCTTGATTGCGAGGTGATGGAAATAATTGCTTGTAAGTGCTCTAATTCAGCCTTCTCTGGGTTTTATCTAAGTTCCTCCCAATATAAAAATGTCAAATGATTCCTTGAAGTGCCTGCCCCTAATTTGCCATCAATTTTCTCTTATGTTAAAGGTAGAAAACACATCCAGGTGGATTGATGTCAGGAAAGCAATTAAAAATAGAGAAAGAGCATGGCCATTGTTAAGGTAAAGGTAAAGGTTTCCTCTGACATTAAGTCTAGTCATGTCTGACTCTGGAGGATGGTGCTCACCTCCAAGAGCTGGCGTTGTTTGTAGATACCTCCAAGATCACATGGCCAGCATGACTGCATGGTCTACTCACATTCGCATGTTTTCGAACTGCTAGGTTCGCAGAAGCTGGGGCTAAGAGCGGGAGCTCACCCTGCTCCCTGTATTTGAACTGCCAACCTTTCAGTCAGCAAATTCAGCAGCTCAGCGGTTTAACCCACTGCACCACCAGGAGGCCTGGTTATTGCTAAGGCAGAGGGGATATTTTGTAGCTGCCTTGGCTTTACTCACTTAAACAAGCAAGTCATCAGTGGTTGTTCAGTATTTGTGAAGGAGGAGCATGGCACAAAGATACACTGGGATCTCTGGATGATATGCCAAGGCGTGTCCAATCACCCAACAGGCATGTTTGTGAATGTGCCTTCAAGCTGTTTGTTGACTCATGGAGAATCATAAGATGTTAACTGTAGAGCAGGGTGATTTTCCCCACCACATATACATACTGTTGCAGCTTAAATATCTTCAGAGGACTTGGAAACGTCCCAGATTCATTTTTTCCAGTGGTGCCGAATCATTACTGTTGTTGTTATGTTTAGTTATATCCTGCTTTTTCTCTCCACAATGGTGGCTCAAAGCGGCTTGCTATTATTAATGTCCTGCATTTTCTCCAGTTCAGGATTCAAGGTGACTTACAAAACAAGCACAGTTAAAATTTCCAGCATTGAATTATATTTAAAAAGTTAAAATTAAGTTCAGAAGGCTGTAGCGGGAAAGTGAGATAATGAACATCCCATTGCACCATGGATTGGCTGTTGGTGTGACAATGAATTTGGGCCATAAAATGGAAATGAAATAGTAGTTCTGAGCCACAAAATAGACCTTATTGACCCGGTCGAGGAAATGAGAGGATTGTATTTTGAATTGGAACATCTCTCTCTCTCTCTCTGATATTTTAGATTTAGGAAAGAGTTTAACTCAATTCCTAACTTGTAGTCTGAAGTGGCATAGTTCACCACTTCTGCATTGTACCACCTTGCTTCCTCAATAGGACTACGCCAACAGTTTTAGAGCAATTATTTCCACAGATTAAGAGAGATTGTTTCAACTTGCTCAACCCCACTTCCTACAGTGCCATGGTACTACGGAGCCCCCGGTGGCACAGTGGGTTAAAGCACTGTGCCGGTAGGACTGAAGACCGACAGGTCCCAGGTTCGAATCCTGGGAGAGGCGGATGAGCTCCCTCTATTAGCTCCAGCTGCTCATGCGGGGACATGAGAGAAGCCTCCCACAAGGATGATAAAAACATCAAAAATCATCCAGGCGTCCACTGGGCAACGTCCTTGCAGACGGCCAATTCTCTCACAACAGGAGCGGTTGCTCCTGACACGACAAATAAAAAGTGCCATGGTTATTTGGTACTACATAGGAATCACATCTGTAAACTAAAATAATTTTACAGTTCCATTGAAAATGACTTATTTTCAGGTGGATGGATGTACATAATATTAGGGATGTGAAATAATATTTAACTAGAAAATTCTGGGGACAAGCCCTTTGTGTGTGTGTTTTGTCATTCCTCCAGCCATCTATTCTTTGTTGGTTGAATAAGACCAAATGGATCGAAAAAGAGATCTGTTAGTAAGCTTCCAGCATGACTAAGGTGCAAGGTTCCTGTCTGACACAAAAGATACACATATGAATCTCATCTGAGACCTCAATAGTGATAACACATAACATTCAAATTATAACTTTCAACAAAATAAGGAGAGAGGACTTAATAACTCATAGTGGTGACTCAGTTGTTGACACTCCACAATTCTTCTGTTTATGTGCATCTGGCTATTTGATGAATAATAATAATGTTTTAATGTATTTTAATCAATGTTTTATCTATTGCATAATATTGTTGTAATGTATTTTGTACGTTGTCGGCATAGAATTGCTGCCATTGTAAGCTGCCCAGAGTCCCCTTTCAGGGGTTGAGAAGGAAGGGGTAGAAATGCTGGAAATAAATAAATAAATTAATTAAAAAGCCTCAGGTTTAGTTCAGGACAGTAGATAAGATGGCAAGCGTGTTTCTGGATTGGTCCAGTCCGAACTGGAGTTGAAGGCTTACATGAGTGAATTCCCGCCCTGCTCCCCTTCTAACCAAATCAGGATATATTCTCTTAGATAGAGAATATTCAGTCTTGAAAATCTCCTCTTTGACCTTGAAGGAGCTGGAGGTGGCTACGGCCAATAGGGAGCTCTGACGTGGGCTGGTCCATGAGCTCACAAAGAGTCCGAGTGAATAAACAACAAAAAATCATCTCCTCTTGCAGTCTGAAATCCATACTCATCTAAACACATGACTTCAGGTTGGACTGTCTGTCCCCAGGTTTATAAGACACATTTACAAGTTTCTATGAGCGAATCTTTGCTTCCACTTACATTGCATTGGCTGTAACCAGGAGATCTGCATTATCAAAGAGGGTAAGCCCCGGCACTTCCACAATGAGTACATATATAAATTCAATAATCAACATCAAAATGAGTTTCCCGATGCAGCTGATCTGAAGGAACACAGAGCAGGCCAGGAGGCTCAGTAAGACACTGTAGGTAAAATACTGTGAAGAGGGAGAAAGAAAAGGAGACGAAAAATGGAAAAGTCAGTAAAGCTGAGTACAATATCCATCAAACAATCCATCGAACACCGCTTAAGAAGGAAGGATCTTTATTTAAAATGAACATTCTATGGACAGAATTCAACATGGCCATGTGGTCTGGCTGTGTTGTACCCCATCTTGAGCCATGAGTAAAGGCAGATTATTATTATTATTATTATTATTATTATTATTAGCTGCATGGATATGGTAAACATCCCTTACGGGTGCAGATATGGGTTTTTGGGTATTCCTGGGGTTTGTATTCCCTTCCTCCCTAGGCAGCACCCAAAGTCCCTCTCCAAACTAATTTTAAAGCCCCATTACCACCTCACATGGCAACTGCACAATGAATATAGAAGCACTAAGACCTTCAGATGATCCTAGATCTCATTTCTATTGTCATAATTATGTGGTGGATAGACAAACCTTCTCAAATCCCACTTGCTCAGGTTGAAGAGTCTAGGCATGGGCAATCTGTGGTTCTAAATGGTTCTAAAGTACTTAGAAAACTAGAGGGTGCCGGGGTTGCTAAAGTTCTGGTGGTGAAATTTTCAGAACTCTAACAAAACTTACAACATTTCATTATTATTTCATTTTTGGTGATTTTTATGACAGAACCAATTAGGAACTTCCATTTATAATGAAAGTTTTGTTAGAGTTCTGAAATTTTCACCGCCAGAACTTTAGCAACACTATAGAAGCAAAGCACCAGCGCCCTCTAGTTTTCTAAGTACTTTAGAACCATTTAGAGCCATGGATTACCCATGCCTATTAAAGACTTGGGAGAAGCTGCTTTGCTTTTATACTTTACACTTTTATATATAAAGTTTGCTTGAGGACATTTATGCTACACTGACTGGCTATTGATTTAAGGCTATTGATCCTAAGAGAACTAATGTTTAGGCAGAGGGTATACACATCTTTGACCCACTAAGTCCTAATATCCTTCCACACTGTAACTCAACAAACTGCTGCTGGATGCCTGCCATAGATGCAGGTGAAACGTCAGGAGAGAATGCTTCTGGAACAAGGCCATACAGCCCGAAAAACTTACAGTTACCCATTGCAGCTGTAGCACTGAACCGTGGCCAAAACTGGGTTGGAAATTCTGTTGGATGACCTTCAGCTACTCAAAGACCCATTGTTATGGGTATTCTTTTATATTTTTCATAGAAAGTAATCTATCAGGTAGAATTTGGGCTATATTACTTTATAATTCAGATCATGAACCATATTTCTGAGTGCCACTTTCTATTACTGCTATGAATAGTGCATTTAAGAAGTTAATTTCTCTCTTTTGCATTGAAAAGACTGATATAACATCTTTAGCAGATATACCAGAATATGTCTGCAATAGATTTTTTTTATCTCCTGGAATGCTGGCTTGCCATATGTACGAAGTTTATTCCGTGTAAAAGCATTAAAAATCCAACTATCCACCTACAATCGGAGAACTAGGGAATGTGCTATGAAGTTACATGAACACATCCTACTATGTGTAACATGTGTAGTTAATTTTACACATTATGTAAAGGGAATGATGCATACAGAAGGTAACAGGTTTACTGGAGGACATCTGATCTAAATCAAACTGCTTCTGCAAATCCATTATATCAACTACTAACAAGTAAGTCAACATACTGGTTGGGTATCTTTAATCTGAAATTTTAAAAAATAAAATACTCCAACATTTGAAATTGTCCACATAGATGGTTGAGATAAAGATACTATTGCTTTCTGATGGCTCAATGTACTCAAACTTTATTTAAGTGCAGAATATTTTATACACAATATTGTTAAAATATTGTGTATAAAACTACCTTCAAGCTAAATGTATAAGATGTCAATGAAACATAAATGAATATCATATTTAAACTTGGACTCCATCTCCAAGATTAGGAATACCTGCATTAAGCAAATGCAGGCATTCCAATTTTTTTTTTTTTAAAAAAACCCCAAATCCAAAACATGCCTGGTCCCAAGGATTTTAAATCATAGAATCATTGAGTTGGAAGAGACTTCGTGGGATGTTCTACCTGTACACATAAATCCCACAGATCCAATAGGTCTACTCGAGTTTGGATTCGAGCTTTAAATAGTGGAATTACAATGGGACCTTCCCTGAAGTGCCTCATATGCAACTTTCACTCATTTTAAACTATATATAACATACACCTAATTTCAACCCATTACCTCTGGAAAGTTGCAGCTTGGCTGGGAGCTAGCACATAATCCCTGCGCTGTCCCCAGACTATAATTGGAGGCAAAGTCGTTAATATGGCACATGTCCACTTCATGTGGGGTGATGTTATACTCTTCAGCCACACAATGGAGGAGGTCCACAGTGCTGCATGTGAACTGGGAGAAAATAAGAAAGAAACATGAAACAAATGTACAGAAAAGGGAGTAAATAGCTAATAATCATCATCATCATCATCATCATCATCATCATCATCATCAGCTATTAAATATATATATTCAAACATTGATGAGAAATGTGTGGTCCTACAAGTAATTTTGGGCTGCAGCTCCCACTGTCCCTCATCCCTGGCTATGATGATTAGGGATTTTGGGAGTTCAAAAACAATGTTTGGAAAGTCACAGTTTTCTCTCTTTTCTATTAGAAAGTGCATCTTCACATATAAGAAACTAAACAGGCACAGAAAACACTTCAGCCAAATTACATGAAACTGCAGAGTGATGGTAGTGATGAAACTACAGAGTGATGGTAGTGATGAATTAGCATACATGCAACATCTTATCTATGTCTTCTTGTATTTCATGTAATTAATGTGCTGTGACACTGACACGGGGAATTCAAATCTAAGGCCCTATCTACACTGACCATTTAATGCAGTTCAAAGTTTGCCTCAAATTGCAGCGGCCAGACAACTAACTCCCATAAAAGCATATTCAAAAAGCCCATAATGGGCATCAGTGTTTTGTGATTTGTGTCATCACCATCCAGCCTGAAACTGGTTCCAGGATTTCTTGTGTAATTATCTGCAAAATCACTTTCTTCAATACCAGATTGGAACTGCATTAAATGGTTAGTGCAGACATGCTGTAAGTCTTTCAATTTGAAAAAAAATTAAACTATTGGCCAGCCCATAGGACAAGTTGTGATGGGGCGCTGACTGTCCAGAAACCATGCCTAAGGACACTTCACCTGGTGAGCCACCCACCAAGACCTGTGCTTTCTTTTGCAGTACACTCTCTACCAGTTTTCTCCAATCTCCAGATGTATTGAGACTACAACTCTCACTATTGTAGACATAAAGACAAATGAATGGCACCAAGTTGAGCACAGCCATACTACAGCATCTGGATGATACATACCATGTTGGCAAAGGCTGAGAAGAAAACCAGAACAATGGTAAAGACCCCAACTATGGTGTTATTGGTCCTGGACTGAACAATCTTCCTTGAAAGGGTCTGGAGTGGAGCTGGAAAAAGCTGGAGACACAGAAAATATTTGATTTTGTAATGAAATACAAGATATACACACAAAGGAGCAACATGCACAAATAAGTATTACACATTTGCTCAGAATAAGTTAATGGGCATTTGCTTTCCCCTCAGTAATTTTATGAGAGGCATGCGATGGCTTGGCTAGCCTGAAATATTGATTTCCTGCCTCTGTTGAAAATAATGGCTTTAGGCCAAAATAGCAGAGAATGATGTGTCAAAATGAGAGCAACCAGGCTTGCATGTCTCCTGCACTTGTAAATACCCCTGTGTTCCAATAAAAGGCATCTCAGAACCACCCAAAATAAATGGATGCAAGACTAGCCCAAGTCATTTTGCTACCTGAAGTGGAGTGCACAATGCTAAATCTTGGCCTGCGTAAATAAGGCAAAAACTTCTACATGTACTCCTCCCCTTCCCTGGAAGAAAGAATGCAATAAAAAGTACCCGTCCTACCCATCCCCTATCCCCACACTACCCTCCCGCCTTCCCTTCCCTCTTTTCTCCTCCCTCTCCTTTCCCCTCTGTTCCCCTCTTCACCTACCCCTCTTCCCCCCCCCCACAATACCCTATTGTACTTACCTTGTGTTTTTATTATAAATTTGTAAAATAAAAACTAATAAAAAGAATTTTTAAAAAGGATTAAAAATTTGCTGCCCTTTCAAAACACCGCATGTTTTATGACATAGTTGCATTATGGCATAGCTGAATAGATAATTTAGACCTGCTCATGCCTAAGTGCTGTGTGATGATTTGTTCTGCTACCACAATTCCAGCTTTCAATAAATTAAATGAATCAGATTGCTGTTGTTTTAAGAAATATACTACAAAGAAAGGGAAGAATAATTAATTATAAAAGAAAAAAAGGAATGGTTATATAGGATGTAAATGTGGACTAGGCATATAAATTAATATGAGTTGACCATATTCCATAATTGCATTTTTTACAACTGATGCCTGTTTAGTACACATCCACAAGGAGTCAAAACACCGAGAACTTTCCAGTATTGTAGCCTTTTATCAGAGTAACATAGACAATGGGTAGGCCAGTCATAATTCTTCAGAATTGTGTAAGGAAATGTACAATATACAGCAACTTTTAACATAAACATTTTGTTATTTACCCAAAGTGCAATATGCTGGATTTTTTTCATGTCAGGAGTGACTTGAGAAACTGCAAGTTGCTTCTGGTATGAGAGAACTGGCCGTCTGCAAGGACGTTGCCCAGGGAATGCCAAGATGTTTTACCATCCTGTGGGAGGCTTCTCTCACGTCCCCACACAAGAAGCTGGAGCTGACAGATGAGAGCTCACCTTGTTCCCCAGATATGAACTGCTGACCTTTCAGTTAGCAGTCCTACTGGCACAAAGGTGTAACCCATTGTGCCACTGGGATATGAGACTGCTATAGTGTGCTGGAACACCTCCCTGCTCCCAATTTTAAAGGGCTAGTAGCACAGCCATTTGGAAGAGCCTGGAATAACCACCACACCATCTCTAAAATGTCACCAATTAATAAATACACCAGATTTTGGGTGATCCTTGAGACAAATTATAGCCATGAATGTTGACAAATTTCCTGAAAGCTCAGAACTGGGAGGCACAAGAGAAGGATCTTGTATTAAATCTGAACATTCCACAAGGGTTTACTAACCTCTTATCAGTTTACATAGTCTTCCAAAACAATCAGTAATAACAAAAAAAATAATAAATGAATAAATTTAAATACTGCAGGGATTCAGCCACAGCTCCCCAGCAGAAAAACCCCACAATTTTTTTTTAAAAAAACTACTTTTTTAATCTGAGAAAATACCTCTCTAATACTCTCTAGGTCCCCCAGCACAACTCTACGTCTGGTGCAAATTGATCATAGAGACGCATTGGAGAACTTAGAGATTCTTAAAGAGATCATATTAATCAGATCTGTGAACAATCAAATCTACAAAAGTTAAACCTGCAAATATGGAAGGCTGATTGTGCTTATTCCATGAGATTTCAGGGCAGCACACAAGTAAAATCAGTGAAAATTGTTGAAAACAATAAAAATAACTAAGTAGACTGAAATCATATTAAATACATGTTTAAATGTTTAAAAAGATTCAAATTATTTAAAACCATGTGCATGGACATTTAGGAATAAATAAGTTAGTCCTCAAATCAGCGAGGTCTCAAAGTGGTCAAGGAAAAACAGGGGTTGAGGTGAGGAAAGCGGAGAAGACCCTCTCTCATACACATATTGACTCCCCTTTTCTTGTCCTATTTAGGGAGGCAATCTTTTCATGGGTTGCTTCTCCTCCAATTTGCCTCACCTGTTTTTCGGTTTGACTTCTTCAAATTGCCTATCTATATTTTCAAAATGTCACAAATCCAATAAGACACCAAGAAGATACTATTAATCTAGAATGCAGCCACTAAAAAGCTTCCCTGCTGAGTGTTAATTTCACTTCGCCACAGTACTCCCCAATTCCATCCCTAGAGACAAATAGCTTGAAAATCCATCATTATTACTATACCAACTAGACTTCCAAGTAACTTCTGTTTTAAAAAAACAAAGACAAATGGCTTTAATACAGCTTTTTGGGTGATGACTAACCACTTTACCCTTTTTTGCTCCCCTTTCTTCTTGCACAGTTAGAGGGACATTTTGCTTCCTACACGAGAATAATTATAAACTGTTTGATGACAGGAGAGCTACTTGTTGGTGAAGAGAGAGAAACAACTGGGAGCAATGCTTGAGCTGCTACTTTCCATTTTATCTCCTAGACAGAAAGTAGGGTAGAAATAAAGGACTAGTTTGGTGGTAGAGAAGCACAGCATGCCTAAAGTTGTGGAGATGCTTTGAAAAATCTGGCAATTGTTTATTCAAGCTCTGTTTAGTATTATAAATGTGCTAGCCTAACAGCTTTTGGTGCTACAGATGAATCACACAAAAATAGCACTATAGCAAAGAAAAAAATGTAGATTATGTACAACATTGGGAGCAGGATTCTCTTGCTACCCATTCATTCCCGAAAGGTTTTTAGAACACAGTAAGAAGGGTCTGCCTAATCAAATTCCCATTAAGCTATGAAATAAATCAAGGACTAGATAATAACAGGTTCTCAGTGAACTGTCTCTCAGGCATTTATCATATTACCAAGTGTCAGAGTTTTAACTATTTCCTTCTGCTTCACAGAGTCAGCAGAAGATGTTTTCTTGTTTAATGGAGAGCAGCAAATGCCACTCGCTCCCTCATCATGGTATTTCTTTTCATTTATTTGTTTATTGCATTAACATATTTATATCCCATCCTGTATCATCAGATCTCAGAGTAATGTACAAATAAAATCCATGTAAAAACTGGCACATGACACAGAAAAGCTTGTAAGTACATTTCCTTAGACATAGCATTAATACGACAAAGCGAATTATCTGACCTTTCCCAAATTCTGCCACAATCAGAAGACTACAAATTCACATGTTATGAAAAAGTATGAAAATAATTTCATCATTAAAAATAATGTTCTATTTTTGGACTCTGGAGTCTTAGGTCATTAAAGGAGACTAGATTGGGACAGGAAAATTGGAATAAGTTAGGATTAGAATAGTTTGACAGAATTTTATTTATTTTTAATTTGCTTAATTTTTATCCCACCTTTCCCCTGAAAGAAGGAATTGTAAGAAGATGGGTTACCACAGATGGGTTTCATGGGTTGAGATACTACAGGATATGTTGCTGGAGATGGTTCAGTACAAATGTGAAATTGTTCCCCTCCTCCAAAAACTTAAGCAAACAGTGATGTACAGTCATATGTACACACATTTTATATAAAGAAAAGAAAGAACAAACCTGACATTGATTGATTAGATTGACAAAAGAAGCCTAGTCTACCATGTTAAAATCTGTCAGCACAATGGATCTAGTATCCAAATTTATCAACTGACATTTGATTCAATAGAATGGTGCAGACAAACATACAAAATGGAAAGGCTTAAATACAATTCAATCAATGTTTGGCAATGGCTCATAACTTTTTTTGGGTGGGTTTTTAAAAATATTTTCTTGAGCAGACTTTCACTTCCAAGTTGATTTGGGCAGGGACCACTTAAGTTCAGTCTTACTAATAGGCACCTCTTTAGGATGGATTTTCTCTGGTGTTCAGTAATAGCAAACGCTACTCACAGAACAGGAAACAAGAGTCTATAGAGCTATCAGAGCTACCAGCCTCAAATATATCTTCTGGAACTCCAACTATGCTGAAAATGGAATAACCAATGAGTTTTTGATTTAACCTGCTGAACACAAAACATTTCAGAGTATCTGCTATCATGAATTGAACCCTAACCAGTAGTATGACTGAACTTGTTGATGAAGTCTGGTACACGGGCAAAACCCAATCAACGTGGATTGGTCCTCCCGTTCTGTCCAAAATTTGCTAAGGAACTTGGAAGAAAATGATCATGCCA